AAACGGTGTAACCCTCAAAACTCACTCTGTTCTCTTCTCTCGCCGTAAACTGGAAGCGCTCTCTCTTTTTATTCTGCAGAATCACCGGAAGAAGAAATGGCGATGGCAGAGAGCATCAGGTCCAGTCTTCCTCTCTTCAACAAGCTCCTGAGACCCGATTTCTTCCCCACTCATGGATCAATCCTTCAACGAACCCTACTCTGCCCACAGGTAACGATAATCTGAGATCAGCTTATTCTGCCTTGTTATGGATATATATATATTTTGTTTTTACGTTTTAAATTTTCAGTTTTCTCTCAAATTTCTTCGCTTTGGATTGGTTCTGTTTCTCAAGATTTTGAAAATTTTCTGTGTCAAATTTAGTTCGGTTTTTTAGTAAATAAATGGAGTGGTTTCCGCCTCTCCTCTCGGATGAGGTTTTGCTGCTCTCTAACTCTCTAATGGGAGCCGCTGTCAGGCGCTCCTAGCTCTTGTGCTTCCCACTCTTCACATCTGCTGCAATTTCATCGAACCAACCTATAATACTTTGCTTCTGATCCAATTTCCAGCCCTTATCTGCAATGTTATGGTAAATCAAAGCTATATCATTCACCTCTATCCCTCACTCAATTGGGAGAATGTTGTCTTTGAACTCACTGGAAGATCCCAGGAGGTAGTTCCGCTTGATCCAAGCAAGAATATCCACTCCCTATAGTTTCCCATCTCCCTTGCAGGCAGCATCATCAGATGCTATTGTCCTTCACTTTTGTTATGTTCTCTAGCAGTAGTTCTCTGTTTAGGTACCTAGTAAAACTATGGTTTATTTTATCTATTGTAATGAAAACTCTATTTTAGATATATATAAAATGTTTTTCTTTGATGGCCTAGGGAAAAAACAAAAAAAAAAAAAAAAAAAAAGGATGAAATTAATTTAGATTTTAAGATAAATTTTAATGACCTCAGTTTAAGGAATACATTGTACGGAATAGGTTTCTTATCTTAACAAACGAAAATAAAAGCTCTCTCTTTCGTCGACAGAAATAAATTGTCGGTGTTATTATTGCCGGCGGCTGACCTTTTACATCGGAAGAAAGAAATTAATACTATGGACTGGACAATTATGCGCGCAGTTGAGAACCAGTCCTACTTTAAAAAATCAGAAAAAAAATTAAATTCCTCAAAATTTTCGAGTTCCAAATCCAAACCGTCCGATCCCGAAAACCATATTTCATTTTTGTAATAATTTTGAAAATCCCACATAATCTTAATACAATAGTAGTATTATATTAATATATTGCAGTAAATAAAATCAACAAATTTATTTACAACAGAATTAAATAATAATAATAATAATAATGATAATAATGAGAGAAAGAAATTAGTGACTTTTATATATTTTTTTTTTTTTCCAAAAATGCCACTGAACCAGCGAGCGTGTTATCCACTCATACCCCTGAAAACCACCGAAAAAATTCGCTGATCTCCTCACCCACGCGGTTCGCTTCGACATCCCAGTCTCCGTCGCCTGGTACGTCGGAGTGGCGGCTGCTCCCGCTGACGAACCTGCCTGAGCTACGGAAAGACAGCGCTCGGGAAGAGACGGTAGAGGAGAGGCGGTCGACGTACTCCTTCAGCCAACTCCTGCCACTTGCTACCTCAGCAGCTAGGTTTTCCTCCGGAGCCGCCACCGCCGAGTCGTTTCCTCCAACCTCCTCCTTATCGGACACACTCCTCTGATGCTGGCGCGTTTGGTTCATGCTCACCTCGGATAAACCGTCCACAATGTAATCGAACGAGCCAATGGAGTACGACCTTCGCCGCTCGCTGGTGTCCGAACCGGTCTGACGGTGGCTCACCGAGCCAATCTCAATCCGGAAACTATCGCTGCCGTCAAAGCTTCCTTGAAGACCGCCATTAGAAGACGAAAGCAACACCTTCATGACATCCGCTTCGGATGCGTAAATCGGAGATCGACAAAGAGGACACGAGTGATTGGAGTTGAGCCACGTGTCGATACAGTCCGTGTGAAATGCATGGCAACACAGAGGGAGAAGCCGGAGCTGATCCTGCAACTCAAATTTCGACAAACAAACGGCGCAATCGCCGGAAATCATGGATGCAGTTGTAGTTCGGCGAGTGATGGACGAGAAGGTGAATATCGGGAGGGAGTCGATGAGGGATAAGGTGGGAGAATCCTCCGGAGAGACGCGACTGCTGCCCGTAGCCGCGACAGAGTGAGAGCCAGAGAAGTGGCGGAGACAGCGGCGGTTGAGGTGGCGGAGTAGGAGGCAGAGAGAAACCGAAACAATCACAGTAATTGAGAGAATTAAGATTAGTATGAGTATGCTCGGCTTGATTCCCTCCATCCCCGAAGAAGACGAATGTGAAACTCCCACTCCGTCTCCCATTCCCAATCCCACGGAATTTGGTAATACCGGCAGTGGAGGCGGCGGTGGTGGAACAGACATGTTGATGTCGGAAAGGTAAGACTTAGCAGTTTCTCGACACTGAGTAATTATTTGTAATATGGAAAATGAGAAAAGAGAGAAGAGAGGGATGTATACAAAACATGTGACGAGAATTTAGTAGTGCAGGCGGCTGCGGGTGTTGATGGTGGCGGCGGCGGCGGCGGCGGAGGCAGGGGTGGAGGCGGAGGAGTGAGAAAGAAAGAGGGTGAGAGAAATTGCAGTT